TCTGCTCTGCCGAGTAAACGTTAGTCACGCTTTCTTTAATGCGTGGGTAGACAGAATAAAATTCTGCAGTATTTTTTTTAATTATTTTCAGGTAACTAAGGTAATTCCGGGAGAGATGCCGCACTTTTTACAACATTTGTTCTAACTCAATCCGAAAATGGTCAAAACGGCTGAAAATTCAGAGATATTATATTTAAGACCTCTATTATACCAATTCTTAAACAAAATATCTAAAGCAAATTAATTCTCAGAGATACAGGGCGATAAAAAAAAGTTGTCTTTGCGGCGTCTCTCCCGGACATGCCGGGAGAAATGCCGCTCTTTGAAAACATCCTTGAATTCAAAAAGAAACAAATGAAAATGAAAACTGATGAACTTTATTCAAACTAATGAATTAATGTGAACATTAAAATGGAGAAAATATGTGAATACCAATTAAAATTGAAAAGTTAACGAATATTCAAATGAATTTTCAATTATCAAGTAACTTGAAAGAAAAATGTTCCAGAGGTTGCTTGGAGTCTAAGTGCAAACCAGTGAATTTAGAGTCTAAGCGTTAGTCAATGAAATTTGTACGGAGAGCAGAACTCATGCAGCCAGTTTCTGCAACAGTTTTCCCAGTACTCACAGCACTTGTTGGTGTTACAGTTTTCAGGGGTCTCTTGATTAGAACTTCTTTTTTTAAGTTTTTCAACCTTGTAGACCTGAAGTACTCGGACTGTTCACCTTTGCTTTTTTCCTCTTTGCTTCTTTCGCATTTCCTCTATGTTGGTTGTTTCAGTGAGGACAGAATCCAGTTGCCTCCTTGCAGTTGATTATTTTCTCGGTATTTTCAACACTGGACTAATTTTCCTCAATAATATAAGATAATGCAATAGACCAGGCATTTTTGAGTACCCTATATTGTATATGTATGATTTTTTCAATCAGATGCGGTATTTTTTTAAGTGCGGTATCTTTCCTTTCTTGCGGCGTCTCTCCTTATCTTCAGGGAGAGACGCCGCGCCCTCCCACTTGCCTTACCCAATGACCAACATGGCGGCCACGTCGTGCAAAGTCAAGACCAGAAACGCTGGGAACCTGTAATGTATCGTGATTTCATAGTTACTTCGATTGGAACTAATAAAGACACATCTTATGAACAATAGAAATAACTTCGAGCATAAAATTATCAAACTCACCGCATAAAATCAGTTATAACTCTCGCAAAACAGCACTGATTTTCATTGCGTCCACTCACAACATTTCTCTTGGCTCACTGAACAAGGACATGTACTGACATCGGAATAGAATTAACGGAACCCACCGAATTAGAAAATGCGGCGTCTCTCCCGCCGCGGCATCTCTCCCGGATTTACCTTATAGACTTTCAGAAATCCTAAGGTGTTGTCTGATACTGAGTGTTCCGTCTTATCTTCATTTCAACAAACACACAAAAGTATGCATGTTGCAAAAGTATGATACGTTTGTGGTCAACAGGTTTCTACCTGTAGTAGTAGTAATCTTACGTTGTCTGTTACACACAAAAAAATATGGACCACAGGATTGCTCAACACTCTACCCGATTCTATATCCAATTAGATACACGGGGTTATTTCACAAACAAAATACTGAACGTATTTATAACTGAAATATTAACATTTAGGACCAGTACCATAAAATATAATTACTAGCATCTGGCCTACGGTCCGGAGTGGATTTTTATTATAATTTAAATGCCATCTTATGGTAAAATTACGTTTATGCATGAGTATGTTTTATTAGTTTACGTTTTTATGAGAACACTTGCACTTCGTTTCCTTACCATGTCTTTGTCTTGCAATATACATGTATTCACATCTCATTTTAAATATTTATTTCTCTTTTTAAGTTTATGCTTCAGATTAAGTGTGTCAGTAAATTGCCCAGAGCCTTTCGATTCTTTCACGTTCCAGAATTTTAATTATTTTCTTTCTTCAACACTTTAACTGCTGTTTGTTATGAAGAGGAAGTTCACGATGTGCATTACACTAGTGCCTAGAAATCGCAGCCTTTACCCCTTGAAGTCGACAAACGCTCCCACCGGGCGTTAACTCGTGGCGAACCCAGGAGAGAGAAAAATTCCCACTGGAGTCGTGTGGCAGTCAGCATCCACTGTTCAAATATGGCGTGACTGAAGACAATGAAGTCTCCAGGAATAAGTGATGAAAAGGGCTAGAAGAAGCTGGGTCGCTCACACGATTCGTGATTGATCCAATAAGAAAACGTTATGAGATAAAATATTACGTCATGGACGGCTACAGCTGGGAGAGTAAACAATACAACCACGCCATTTCACGATCACAGATTGAATATTTATCTAATTGAGATTAATGTCTTCATAGTTCGTAAACTCGCTACTATATTAAGCGCAAGTTTGTAATGGATGTGTTGTAAATCACGAGTTGTGATGTGTACTGACTGGATCGATTTTGAGTTAGGTCTTTATTATGTCTTTTATTCGGTGTGTTCATACGATTCAGTTTCGTAAAGTGTATCATGTTTTCCAGTTTAATAGTACTAGTGGTCTTAATAAATAACACTAAATTCCTACCCTTATCGGTTCATTCATGACTAGCTACAGTGCGTGATTAATAGCCGTTAATCATCCCAAGAAGACTTCTGGGTTTCATGAGGCACCCCTTGTTGGTTGTACGCAACAATTTATAGCTATATTCGCGTCTATCCTTCACGGGCCACCTGCGGTCCAACTTACGAATTTGCTGAAACGTTTGATTTCAAGATAGGCTTGTAAATATTCGTAATGGGTACAATTACGGAGAGTTGTTTGATAAAGATAAATGTACAGTGGAGTAACACCTACGGTCCGTGAACCGTGTGCAGTCCCCTAGAAGGTGAGGTGAAAGGAATTTCATAAACCAGATATCACATGAAGTATTTAAAGCATGTGTTCCAAACCAGTAACCTCTATATCTGTCTCTGTAATAATCCTAAAAGTAGATTCAGTGTATATAATGGAGAGAATATTTGCACCTAAGGAAGTGGAAATAACAAGAGATTAGAGAAATTAAATATTGAGCATCTTCATAATGAGTGCTCATCAAATATTATTGTCGCGATCAAATGAAGGACGAAAATATGGACAGGACATGCAGCATGCAGAATGAAGACAATGAGAAAATCATACGCGTTAGTAGAAAACCTGTAGCGAATGAACACTTTAAAGGGTATGGTGTAGATAAAGTAAAGTAAAGTTTGTCCCACTATACGCCATGTAGGCGTTTGGGGTGAGAGGAGGTATAGCTCCTCTCTTCCTTGACCTCGGCACTAGATGGGGGTGAGTGGTCAGCATCACGCCCCGGCCGGCTTTACCCCCGGGAAAGGACCCCGGTACCCATTGTAGAGGAGGCTGGGTGGGCCCCAGAGCCGGTCTGGACGCAGAGGCTAGAGGAAAAATCCTCTGCCCCCGTCGGGGATCGAACCCCGGTCGTCCAGCCCGTAGCTAGTCACTATACTGACTGAGCTATCCCGGCTCATGGTATGGTGTAGGTGGTAGGATAATATTAAAAATAATCTTGATGAAATTGGTTATGAGTATGTGGACTGGGTTTATGTGGCTGAGGGTAGAACTAAAGTGTGGGCTGTTCTTAATATGATAATAATCTGACGGAGTTTGTAAAATGCGAGTAGCTTAACGACTGTTAAGTCCTTTAAAGGACTCTACTTCATCCTGTTATACCTACCGTTCTACTTTTATAGTCGTTGACATATGATGTAAAAAAATTGTTACTATTTCTGCTATTTTTAATTATCGGACTAAGTCAACAAATAGTGGAAGCCAAACACTAGGATCGAATTGAGAGAGCCTAAATATTTCAGGGGTACCTTAATTAACGATCGAAATTTTCCTGCGGTAGGAACGATAGTATTCAACCTGATATTTTTGGGTACCATCAGACTTACCACTACATATCAGCAATTTATCTTGTGAGACACGAGATAAAAACGCTTACACTGTATTTATCAGTAATAGCTATTGTAATATTTCATATAATTTTTAAATTCGATGTTTGAAGTGATTTGACAGAATCGATCTCTGTATGTTTAGAAAGCAACATAACTCACGGATTAGTCAGAGCACTCTTCGTGCGTGTTTACTCGTGGTTGTTTGCACGCCTATGATAGGCAGTAATTCCAGATCGTGCTTTCCTGCAAAAGCAGTTGAAATGGATTTGCGTCAATTGTGTAATTATATTTCCTGTTGTAATTAGTGAGGCGGAGCATAACGTATGGTGACACGGACGTATAGTGTGTTCTCAATCATCCGCTAACGTGTAAGGCAACGATCGATTTTCTCAGCTAGTAACATGACTCATTAATATGAACGTACATACAAATCTGCTTTCAAGACCAGCGAAATTGACTGCAATCGTCACCTTTCCCCCCCCTTGTTTTATCGTTGAATATGTCACTTCAAAATGGGTTATGATCTTTGACGTCTGATTTATCCACATTTATAATCACTATTTAGATCAGTCTTCAATGTGTCTGGAAGTACTGGATGGAAATATTGATGAACTAAGCCGACATATACTGTAAATAAATAACTTTAAATTAGTCCAGTGAAAAGTTCACTTCTGTACCACTGCATTAATCATTCGTTCCAAGCTCTAATCTCCCTTGTTCAATTTAATTTATCTTTATAATATGCATATAGTTCCCGTTTGCATCTTGGATGAACACAGCTAAATGAACTTGTAAAAATACCTTGTACGATGAATAATTTAGTTTAAGCTTCAAGCAGAGTAGGCAATTGACATGAGCGAACTCAAATTAAATTCGCCCCAAACATTTTCTGTTGTTCGTCAATAGAATATTGAATTTTGAACCGTTACTTTGTTCCTCGATTGAAATATGTAGACAGTTTCAATCGTCCATTCCATTCTGCGTAGCTTGTGGTATTAACACATAGCGTTACCCTGCAAACGTTTCCCGTCACACTTCGTGCTGATTCATGACTTTGTTGAATGATGGATGTAACTCCAATTACAAATCCAGTATCGTAAAAAAAATCGAATGTAAAAGCAGAAAGATAGTTATATTTGAATACCTACAGTTTAAAAAAATCAACGAATGTTTTGCGACGAGTCTAAGGTGCATTTTCTATGTTTCCAATGTTTATTTTGTCTTGAAATGCATTCCATGAAGTAGGAACAGCCACAGACATGAAAGTGGCCGGTGATATTGGAGATTTTTGTGGTAGTGAGTGTGAAGATGACGTGTCTTCTGAGATGTGGCGCTGTGCGATATGGTGTACATTGACCAGCGTTCGAAAGGAGCATCTTTCTGGTTTTGCGATGGGAGGAGTCTGGTGTCTTCGTGGAACTGCTTTCGCTAATGAAGTCATTGTCCATCCCCCATATGTTACTTAAGTGAATATGGAGCAGATGTGGAATGTTATTCACAGGAGAATACCGAAGGATTCGGAGAAAAACCTGTCCCAGTGCCAATTTATTCATTACATATTCCACATGGATTTCCCTGGGCGCACACACGGGCCTCCTCAGTCATAAATCGGCGACTAATAGCCTGATCAGTGACATTTAAAAGAGGCTTACTGCCTCCATCATTAGGATTTCTTAACAATTGTCGTTAGAAGTTCAAATCTTGCTAATCAAATGTTTGTGGATAATGTAATTCACGTCAGAGAATATATTAAAAGGAATAAATTTTATGATATCGTAGAATGTCCGTCAGAGTGATTATTATGAAACACTCTTGGCTTTTTGTAGTGTTCCATTAATTACTGGCTCCAAACAGCGGATTCTTCAGATGCCAATAGTCAGTCAGGTAATCAATAAATTCGCTATCTTTTACCGAATGGAAGTTACATTATAATGTTCAAAATGGCAAGAAGATGAATCCTGTACAGCATCATTTTAAGATACATTTATGAACTATATTCTCCAAGATGGCTGTCTCCTAGTTTACTAACGTTTCAGGAGTTAGGGCAACGAGATCCTAAAACCTCACCTAATACCAATCAGCTGTCAGGTTTCCCAATTCCAGATACGAAAAGAGGATAATTTTGAT